GAGGCGCAGAAATGATGTTCTGTAGGAACTGGCGGTGGGGTCTGTAGGTTGGTAGGACTGGAAAGGGTTAGTTCTGAGAAGAACTGTGGGCTAAACTCTTGGTTTTCTAAAGGGGAAACAGTTCTATTAATGTCCATGCAGTAAGTAGTACAGGACTCCAGGATTTATGGGACTTCTGAGGTCTTTTAAGAAAATTTCCCCATTAAGCTGTCATCCTTATCCATGTTGTCAAACGCTGTGTTACTGGTCAGGTCTTGCCCTTTGGACCGACTGACCTGGGTCGCTAGGGGAGAAGGCAGATGCGATCACACTGGAGCCCTGTCTGTCTTGCTCCTCGTTGTATCTCTAGTGCCTATTCGTGTGCCTGGCACCTACCAGGTACTCAGTAAATATTTACTGAATAGATGAGTGGAGGAGGTCAGGAAAGAGAAAAGGGAATGAGTGACTGCTGTCTGTGTGTCTAGCACCGGGTATGGTATGTTTCAAGTGCTTAGGCCATCGTCACCAACAACCTCCATAGTGCCAAATCCCATGCTTCCTTCTCTGTCTCCATCTTTCTCAGCCTCCCAGTAGCATACTCTCCTCCTCTGTCAACTTCCTTGACATCACTCTCTCCTGGTTTCCCTCTGACCTCACTCACTGCTTTTGTTCCTCTGCTCTGCTTGTAAATGCTGGCATGCCCGGCACTTGGTCTCAGGTCTACGCCTCTGTTTCCACATTTTCTTCCTGGATGATCTCATCTAGTAATGGCTTCAGAGACCAGCTTTCTTCATTGATTTTCCAGTTTCTGTCTCCAGCCTCAGGCTCCCGTGCTACAGATTTAGACATCTAATTGTGTACCGGATAGTTCCTTTTTCATATATAGTATGGATCTCAACCATAAACTGGACAGGAAAGGACTCTTGATTCCTTCCCCCAAACCCATTCCTCCCGCAGCCTTCCCTGGACTCCTGAGATAGTTTCCTAGTTTCTTCCGTCTCCTGATGATTTATATTTCACACAGCAGCCAGAGTGAGCCTTTAAAAACGTTAAAACAGTTCCATCTTAAAACTCTTAACTATCTACACTAATAAAAGAGAAATATGGTAATTGGCATACAACCGCTACCTTTTCATTGGCTAATCAGGGTGATATGCAAATTAACTGCCAACTAAGATGGCAGTTAACTGCCAACAAAGATGGTGGTTAATTTGCATATGTAGGCACAATGCAGGGAGGCGAAAGGGAAAGCAGGAAGAAGCCCCCTGCCACTGACAGCGATCGGAAGGAAACCCAGGGGGGAGCTAAGAGCAGGAGGGCAGGGCAAAGGTGGCCCCCAGGGGGCCACCTCCAGCCATGATCGGAGAATTGGGCGCCTTTGTA